CACAGGGTTCTGAGGCCAGAATCCAAGAGGCACTCCCTACTGCCTTGCTCCTCAAAGTGTGGGCCTCGGACCAGCGGCAGCAGCGACACCACTTGGACGGTTATTAGAAATGCAGACTCTCAGACTCTACTGGTTCACAATCCATAGTTTAACCAGCTCCCAGGTGATTCGCATGCACACTGGTTTGGAAATACCTAGCCTCTGGGTCCCAAGCTGAAATCGAGTGCCCAGGGCCCACGGTGACAGGAGGGTTCTGGTGTCATAGTGGCCCTGACTGTCCAAGAATTTCCAGATTCCTCTGGGTATGCCAGCACACAGCTGCTCTGCTGGGTGAGGCCTGGCAGAACTTCAATGGGCCAAAGGGTGGCTGAGCATGGATGTTCCTTTTCTAAGGAGGCCTCAGATACAGGCCCTTCTCCGCGCCTCTGCCCAAAGCTTTCTGCCCTGCCCTGCCCTCTAGTGGCCACCAGGAAACATTGCCATCTCACATGGCCCCATCTCTGCAGCCAGGACCAAGAGACCCAGCCCACGGTGGTAGGAGGAGGACTTGCCTGTTGCTGACTTTTGATATAAGATGCAGAGATCAGCAAGGGCATAATGGAAACAGCTTGAAAACAGCACTAGTGGGACAATAGCCAACGGAGGCGGCCCTTTTTGCTGGGTGAGAGGTCCTGACTCAAACCTCCCTGTCGCTGCCCTTTCCTGCACAGCTTGTTGGAAGCTGTGCAGAGCAGGAACACGGGCCGGGGGAGAGGCAGAGTCCCGCGTGTAGCAAGGACTGTAGGCAGGAGGTCTCTGGACTGGCTCAGGGAGCCTGGCGTGGTGGCTGCAGGACAGGGGGCAGCATCCGGGCTGTGGAGGGCCGGGGCTGTACCAGGGACGAGGCGTGACTGCATGCGCTTTAGGACGCTGCTCGGTGGAGGATGGACTGGGCTGGACAGCGGGAGCTGAGAGCCCATCGGGGGGCCCATGCTGCCGTTCAGAGGGCACGAGGGGCTTCACGTGGGCCAGGCGTGGTGGAGAAAGGGCGACGCCCTCCCACATCGCAGAGAGGACGTGTCCACCCAGTGTCAGGAGCCGACTGGAACGGGAGCTGGCTGGCTGTGTGGCCAAGGAGGTCTTGAGACGTAGAATCTCATCAAGGTTGGAGGAACATGGCCCTAGGCCTTCCCAAAGGTCTGAGGGCCTGTGTCCTTGGCCACATGGATGGAGCAGCCTGACTGCCTGTCCTGCCGGCCAGGTTTAGCTGACCCCTCCCTGAGGCGCCATGGTCAGCCAGGTCCATAGTAACCTGGTCTCACAGCTGCTCGGGGGGAGCTGCCTCAGAGCCTCTTCAGGTCCTTTCCACCCAAGACAGATGGTAGAGCCTCCCCACCTCCCTCCTTTCTTTGTTCCTGCCTATCTGCCCGCCTGCCAGTCACCTCTCCCCACCCATCATCTTTCCTTCTTCCCTCTGTTGTCTATACTTGTGACTATATTATGTATCCATTATGTATCCATCCATCCATCCATCATCCCCCATCATCCATCTTTTCCTCTTCCCTCTATTGTCTATATCTGTTGTGATTATATTACATGTCATGGCATGAACCCACTACCCAACCTGAGTACTCAGATACGATCAAGACTTATGTGTGCTTCTCCCCGTTCCTTACCCTCTGCTGCTTCATATAATCACTAAAATGGATATTATGTTTACCATTCCCTGGCTTCTAAAATTATTTTTATCACATTTTTATGTGTGTCTATTGTTTAGTTTTAGTCACCTACGAACATGACAAGAAGAGGGATTTGCCCTATGTTATCTTCTAGGATTTCATCACTCAATATTATAAGAGAGCTACATTATCTGGCTAATTCATTACTTCATCTATCTATCTGATTATGTTTATTGAATGCACAGTTCACGCTTGGGGCTCCTCTTCTTCCAGGGCGTAAGTAGAGGGGACCCACATAGAATTGGAGAGAGGAAGGTTCCTATGATTGATTTGGCCCAGTTTCCCTGACCGTTTTCCCGCTGGGGAAGCCGAGGCAGCGAGCTTTTGTGATCCAGAGGTCCTTACCATCTGCTGCTTAGAGTGGGAGTTTCCCTTTGGGACCTTGACATGCCTTCTTCCTTGAGTCCTACCCTCTCTCTGGAGCAGTTGATGGTGGGCTGTGGTAGAGCAGGAGCTCATGCCCACCTGGGCATTGTGCTGGCCCTGTGGCCTGCCCCCCGCCCCCTGCGTGCTCCCCCTGCCAGCCATGGAGTGCGTCTGCTGTGGCCTGGACGCCTACCCTGCAGTGCTGAGTCATCCTGCCTCACTGCTCAGGCCGGGTGGCCGCCTGAGGACCACAGTCATCCTTCAGCTCTGGTCCTACATGGTGAGGAAGTTCTCCTGGGTGGCCTTGGAGTGGGAAGAGGTGGAGCAGGCTGTCCTGGACTCTGGCTTTGACATCAAGCAGCTCCTGCCTAGCCCCCAGACCTACTCTATTGCCGGTGCTGCTTCATTGTTGCCTGCAAGCGGCCTGGGCCCTGAGCCAGGGGGCCCAGCTGGAGGTCTGGCCAGGCGTGGAGGCCTCCGCTGATCTATCGGCTAGAGAGGGGATAGGAAGGGGTAGTGTCCAACACGCCTGCTTTCACCACTAACATTCCATCTTCTGAAATTTGGAGATTTAAACATCCTTGTTTTAGAGCTCTAAGTTTCCAGCATACCTAACTCTGGGGTCATGGGAGTAAATATTCCATTTTCCACTGCACTAAGCCTGGCAGCGATCCTCAGATGTTGCCTGACTCACAAGCAACTGCTGAGCACCCAGGAAATGGTTTCAGCCTTTACCCAGTATGTTTAAGAGCAGGAAGCCTCCCAACAGTGGAGTATTGGTAAATGTTCCACAACCAGCTCTAAAAAGAAAAAAAGCAACCGTGTACAAAAAAGTGGATGATAGATGTTTCATGGAGATTGCCACTTTCTGTCCTGTAAATACTCCTACCATCGCTGATTTCAAGTTCCCAGTGGTTTAACAGCTGTCCCACAAAATTCCTAAAAATTTAACAACTGGCTGAGCATGCCACTGCCTCTAAACTAGTGTTGGCAGATTTAGCAAATAAAAATACAGGATCCCCAGTTAACTGAATGTCAGATAAAATAATTTGTTTTAGCGTAAGTGTGTCCTCAAATTGCATGGGACATACTTATCCTAAACAAGTATTCATTGTTTTTCTAAAATTTAACTTTAATTGGGGGAACTTATTATTACATGTCCGTTAAAGAGTATTTGCAGCTGGAACAACAGGTGCTCTGGTTGGAGGGTCACCTGGTCTCCTGCAGCTCTGCCCTCCTCTTTCTCCACTCAAGTGCTGTCACACAGCACCAAGTGTCCCAAGGAGCCATTGCACCGTAGGGGGGAAGATGCCTAGAGATTGTAACGTCACCTTCGATGTTACAGTGATTTCCTCGGGAGCCCGCCTAGTATGCGACGCTTGCTTCCCAAGGGTGATTGCAAGAGGATTTTTAGATGGATGCAGAACTTTCCAGTTATGTATTTGTTTTAATGTGTATTAGAGATTTCACCAATACACCCAACATGATTTGTGAGTGTTACTGACTGGAGGCACTTTCCTTTTAAAATAAACTTGAAAATATGTGCGTTGGTTAAAAACAATTCGTAAGTAACAGTACAGATGCTGTGAGCTGAATTGTGACCCCCAAATCCATGTGTTGAAGTCCTAAAGCCCAGCACCTCAGAATGTGGCTGTATTTGGAGACAGAGCCTTTAAAGTGGCATATAAGTTAAAACGAGATCATTAGGGTGGGTCCTGATCCAGTAGTCTGGTGCCCTTTTAAGAAGAGATTAAGACACAGACATGCACAGAGGGAAGGCCATTTGAGGACACAGGCAAATGACCACCATCTACAAGCCAAGGCGAGAGGCCCCAGCAAATTCCGAACTTGCTGACACTTTGCTTTTGGACCCTTAACCCCTGGAATTGTGAGAAAATATGTTTCTGTTGTTTAAGCCACTGGCACACTAATGCACTAGGTGATGTGCCGACGGGGCCAAGACTGTGAAGGTGGTACCCAAGTCACTGAGTCTGAGGCAGCTGGTCCTGGGCACAGGCATTGGTTTGACCAGAACCCAGCTTTGCCAGTTCCTAGCTGTGTGACCTTCAGCAAAATCTAAACCTTTTTGAATCTCAGCATTTGTTTATTTTATTTTTTTGTTACTTTTTAACAATTGATTTGAGAGACAAGTGGGGGGAGAGAGAGAGAAAGGGAGAGAAATTCATGGGTTGATCCTTCCATATGCCCTGAATGGAATCAAACCTGTAACCTTGGTGTATCTGGGATGATCTAACCAACTGAACTAGCCAGCCAGGGCTCAGTGTCCTGTTTTGAAGAAGGGAGCCACTAGCAACCATCTTACCTGGAAGTGGTAGGATTAAAGGTGTGATAACACATGTAAAATGCTTGGTGCTCAATAAGGAACAGTCTCCTCATGGGAAAGCAGGCACCAAATGGGGGGAGGGGGGAATTGTCCTTTGCTTTCAGTGGTGAGTAGGCAGAGCCCAGGGCTTCTGTGACCCTCGCAGTCCAGCCCAGCCAAGGTCAGTGGGCCTCAGGTGACCCCAGGAGGCAGCTGGGGTGCAGCCAGTGGACCTCTAGGGACCACTTGGTTGTGGGTTTTCTCTCCCCAGGATCGAGGAGGCAGGCACTTCCCCATTGCCCATCTTGGGAAAGGGAGACTCAGATTGGAGTGGTGACTTGCTCTAGGCCACCCAGACGGACAGGGTCAGAGCCAGGACCCCAACCGGGAGCCCACGGAGGAGTTCCCTGGGCTGCCCTGGGCTGCAGAGAGCGGCCCAGGGCTTCTGCCTTGTGGGAGGTGCCTCCTGCTCCCAGCGCGAGTTCAGAGGACGCCCCGCCCCTTCCCACCCGCCAGCCTCGAACGCCGGCTCCGGCGAAGGGGCGGAGCCTCCGGCGAGGAGGACACGTCGCCAAGGCAACGCGGCCATACTGGCCAACGGGCCCGGGGGTGTGGGACTCCGCGGCCGCGGCCTCGTGGGCTGGACCGGCAGCATGGACAACCTTTTCGTGGAGGAGGTGGCCGCCTCCCTGGTCAGGGAGTTCCTCAGCAGAAAGGTATGTGGCGCGCCCTTCGCAGTGCGGGGCAGTTGCTCTAATTTGGAGCGCCCTGGGGGCTCCCCTGCAACCTTTGCCCCTTCGGGGAGGGAGACCTTCCTCCGCCCTCTGCCAGCCCCAGCAGTGCCCGACAGCAGCGCCACTTTCCCGGGCTGGAGTGGGGGGGACTACATTTCCCAGAAGCGCTTCTGTCCCCGCGCACTTCTCTCCAGCAGGCCGCACCACAGCCGTCCTCCCCGGGCTTGCCCCCTGTCCGCCGAGGCCCAGGGGCGCTGGCTCAGCGCCTTCTCCGTGAGGAGCCCAGCCCAAGACTGTAGGCCAGGAAGAACTGCCCCCAAAAAGGAGCCCAGAGGGCTGGAAAAGTTCTTGACAGTCAGACCCTCCAGTCACGTTCATCAACAGTTCAGTCGTTGCAGTCGGTTTTGTTTTTAAGTTCTGTTTTGTCCCAGGAGAGTGTTTGGAGTGATCGAAGGTTGGGGAGGTCCTTGGCTCGCCTCTGCTCTGTCAGTGGTGGGGAGGGCACCCCGGGAGGTGGCTGGGGGTCATGGTGAAGGAGAGCGTAGGGGCAGCACCCATTACTCCTGCACAGTGACCGAAAGCTGGCCACTTGCCATGTGTCTTGGGTCCTCTGCAGTCCTGGAAGGCGAGGGCAATGGGCACTTGTCTGGGATTAACACACACACACACACACCCCCCCAGTGATAACACACACACACACACACACACACACACACACCCACCCCCCCCCCCCCCCCCCCCCCACCCAGTGCTTTGAATGGAGGAAAGGAGAAGGGCTTTGGATTCAGAGCAGTTCAGATGTCCGCCAGTAGCTAAGCAGTGTGAGCTCGGGCTTGGTACTCACTGCCTCGATTTCCTTACCTGTAAATCAGGAATAGGAAGACTTTCCCTTGGCAGATTTATAATGAGGATTAATAATAATATATGGGCAGCTCCTAAGCATCGTATGGCGTACATAGTAGATATTCAACGTGGTCTTTTCCCCTTCTCTGATGTGCACGTGTTTTGAAAATCTTTGCTTTTTAAACATGTATTTTTAATAAAGCATTTTTTAAAGGCATGTGGCTTCACTGTATCTGCTCTGTTTTCATGGCTAATGGGCTTTTCATCACCCAGTCCCAGCCACACATTGGATTGTCAGTGACGCACGCTGTGAGGCTGCCCACTACGGTCATTTTTTAAAGTCTGGTCCCCAAGCAGAACTCTGAGTTTTCTCATGCCTTCTCTTTTTTGAGTACAAACGAATTCCAGAGTCCTCACCAGATACCCGAGGCTCCCCTGGTCTCAGCTCACCATCCCAGTCTCACTCCTAGCCTCTTCCTCGTGCTCTTCCCTGTTCCACCCAAGTCCCATGTCCTTCCAGGGGACTTCTCGGGTAGCTCTAGTTGGAGTGACTGGCCCATCTTGTCTGGTTGGCTCATTGATGCTCATGTGAGAGTTTATAGACCTGCCTCTCACCTGGCCTCTTCGCCACCCCACTTTTTATTTGGGTACATGAAGGCCCTGGGAGGAGAAAGGGGCCGCCCACAGTCTCTCAGAAAGTCACCGAGAGCAGGGATGCAGCCCAGGTCGACTGCTTCTCTCATCGTCTTCTGCCCGGAACAGAGACTAAGTACTCCTCACGGGGCTTGGCAGAAGGCGGGGCCCAGCAGTCACCATCAAGAGAGTCCCCATCATGGTTCAAGGTACCTTCTAGGTGCCTGTTTGTTCTCTCAAATCCTCATAATAGTCCTGAAAGACAGGCATAATCACCCCCTTTCCTGTAAAACTGTCATGAGAGTAGGAGACGCAGAAACACGCCCAGGGTGCGTGGGCCAGACCAAGCATGTCCCCCCGCCCCTGCTCAAAACCCCCATGGGCTTCCTGTTACAGTGATTGTGGAATCCCAGTGAAGGCCTCACCAGGGCCTACCAGGCTGGCTATGACCTGGCTCCCTGCGCCCCTTGGACCTCATGCCGCGACCCGGCGGCGTACCCAGCCACACTGGCCTCCTTGAACTCACCAAGCGCGACCTCCTCTCGGGGAGAGTCATGACAGTCTCCTGGTGACGCCAGGATCCACCGAGGTGATTCTCCTGGTGTCCCGGCCTCCCAGGTGCATGGCCCCTCTCCTGCAGTGACCGGCCCCCTCGTATGTCCCCTACCCTTTCCCGTGACGATGCCGTAGGTTTGTCATTACCGGTACTGCACGTTTCCATAATTTCAGTTCCAAGTACCCCACTGCCCCCATTTCCAGCTCATCCTCCGCCCCGGGAGTCCCACAGAAACTACTCTTCAACCTCACTTACGTCTCCATTCTTGTTCCTGCCACCTTGTCACAGCCCCTCAGTGCTATCGAGTGTGAGCTCCAGGAGGGCCAGGCCTGTGATCTGTTCACTCGGCCCCAGAAGCTGAACTCATGGGCTAGTGGTTCATTCCCTTCATTTCACAGACGGGAAATTAGGAGACAGGAGTGTGCACGTGGGTGGTGCTTGATAAGTAGCTGCCGTCTGAAATTGTGTCCTCATCTTCGCCTCTGCTCTCCCTGTTTGTCTCCCTAGTAGTTAGTGCACAGGAACAGCTGCCATACTGTAAGCTTTCCCCTTGTTTATGGCCTGCCTCCTCATCAGAATGTCAGCTGCGTGGGACATGGCATGGGGGACTTTGCCTTTTTCCGTCTGTATTTCCTGCCTCTAGGACAGCCTGGCGCACAGAAGGCGCACTCCAACTGTCCGTTAAGTGAGTGAGGATTGAGTGGGCCGGACGGGACCGGGGACTGGCTGATTCTCGAGGGTGATTATGTCTACCGCCCCGATGATTTTCAAATGCCGGCGTGCACCACAGTCCTGGAGGGTCTGGTAGATGTGCCAGGACTTGCTGACCTGAACTCTTCACCAGCAGTTACCCACAGAGGAGGATCCTCATCGCGGAGATTTCCTCCAGGCTCAGAGGGGTGGGAAAGCCGTGGTTAGGCCCAGATGAAATGTTCGTGCTTGCTCTCTGGCCTCACTTCTTCTTCCAGCTGACTCTCCCCGGTGCTCTCAGGAATGTCCCTGCCTTTTCCCAGCACGTGCAGCCTTTTCTTCCTGTCCCCACTCCCTGCCCCTGCCCAAAGCTTTCTGTTTATTCTCTTTGGTCCAAGACTGTGTTCATACCTCTTGTTTCACAGGTTCTTCTTGCCTCAATTCATAGCCAACAGCAGGTTTTGTCTTGTTTTCCCAGCAGCGAAAGGCCTCTGCAAAATTCTGAACACAAAGGCAAGGGGAGAAGTGGAGGCCTGTCTGGCACTGAGGTCTGGATCCTTCTAGAGCAAAGGGCTCTCCTTATGCCAGGCTGAGATGTTCGCCAGGCGTCTTGGCCTTGTCCTCCACCATTTCGAGGATCCCTGTGGCCTGGCGCAGTGGGCAGCCAAAGCTGGCGTGGTTGGTTTTCAAATGGAGAAGCCAGGCTCGAAGGGGCACAGCACTTCCCACCGCCGGCGTGTGTCTTAGCTGGCCTTCAGGGAGTTCACGTCTGGGTGACGGAAAGGGGCTTGCCAGGGGCCCCGGCAACACAAGCTGTGCCCTTCAGAAGCCCGGCTCTGACCCCGCTGTGTTGCCTTGGGTGATTCAGCCCTGGCTCCCCATCTGAGAAAAAACAGGAATGAATATTGGCCTTTTGTGTATGTTTTTTGTTTTGTTTGCTTTTAAATGTTCACATTGTGCGGCCCCCACACTCAGCCTTGGCTGACTCAGTTACCTGAGTTTCCCTTTCCTTTTCTATGAAGCGGTCCAGCCGGGCCAGCCGTACTTTGCTCAGCCCACGGGGTCATGGTCGGATTCAGGATGTTAACTGTGAAGATGATGTCAAATATGAAGATTATATGAAAATAAATTCTGCGGTCAGTTTTTGGTTGTTGGAATATCTTTGTGAGGCAGGCACGATAAGAATGATCCTAATAAACATCAGCAGCCTGTTGTTTGTAGTCCGCGGCAGAGAACGGAGGGTTTTGATTTAAAATGATAAATGATGATTCAGACTTCTTCCCTCAGGGCTTAAAGAAGACGTGTGTGACCATGGACCAGGAGCGCCCACGCACTGACCTCAGCATCAACAGCAGAAACAACCTCCGCAAGGTTTTGCATCTTGAATTTCTCTACAAGGAGAACAAGGTACGTGCTGTTAACGTGCGGCGCGGTGTTCTGGAGCTGAGTTTGGCAGCGTCAGAGCACGGCTGGGCCCTGCCAGGCCACCAGCCAGGGGCAGCAGGGGTGGGCCACACCTGCGGTCAGGGAGAGGCAGACCGGCCGAGTGCCGCGCGTCCCCTGTGTGCGTCACGTTTCCAGCCCCAGTCAGGCCCCGGGCTGCCCCCAGAGGCACGCTGCACATGCCCGGCTACAAGGCTCGGTTTGGACCTAAATCTGTAAGTTATTCCCTGCGCTCCCTCCTCCCTGCTCGGGCTAATTTTAGCCAGACTTGACTTAAGAATATAGTATTCAGTTACACTAAAATTTTCCACTCCCTGCCTGCCGAAGAGTTTCCTTCTTCAGTTCTGAGTAATATCTTACTCTTTAATTCAGGCAGAAGCCAAGCTTGGGCTCAGCTCCCCCAGGTGCGTTGGAGTTGAGAAGGGTGGGAGCGGGTGAGGCTTCCCTGATCCCCTAGTCTCCATCCCCCACCCATCACCAGCGTTTGGGGCACCCTGTAGTTTTCTTTTGTTGTGCTGTCAAGGTTATAACAGAGTATTTGTGTGGTTCTTTAATTGGTATCTGCCTACCCTCCCACCTTGACCGCAGCAGGAGGCCAGAGATGGCATCCGTATTGTTTACTGTTGTGTCCCTGTACTTACTGTGTTGCCTGATGACACAGTAAAGAGTCAACCTGCATTTCTGGGTTATGTGACCGATGGACGGACTGACTGAGCGTTCGGGTGAATGGAGCTGCCATTCTGACCTAAGTGCTCTTTCTGTTATGAAGACAGAATCTTCTCATTGGATTTAAGAATGGCTCTCCAGCCGATGTGGCCTTGTGGTCGGGCACAGTATCAGCGTGGGAAAGATCAGTGTGTGGTTTCGCATTTATCACAGTTTTTTAAAAAAAGGCAATGAAATGCAGACTCATCAGATGCCCCACGTCTGGCTGCACCTCCCAGGGGCTGGCGTTTCTGGGCAAGTGGTGTGGGGACTGACACGGTCACAGGGCCTGGTCCTGGAGGCCAGCCTGTGGGTCACTGCGTGGGTAACGGGGTCTGTCCACATTTCTTAGGAGAATTTCTAAAGAAATCAGGGCTCTAATCTTTGTGATTTTGGCTTAATAAGATCAGTGGGGCCCAGGAATGTATATTAAAAAAAACTTCCCCTAAGGTAATATGTGGTACAGTCAGGGTTAGGAAATGCTGGTTTTGTTTATTTCTAAAGCCGACTGCTGAAGAGTGTCGTCATATCTTTTTATTTTTTTAAGATTGGGGTGTAAACAAAGGCAGCCCTGACCGCCTCTCTCTGCTCTTCGCGGTACCCTGCTGCCGCGTCGTCCCTGGGGTCCCCAGAGCCGGCGTCAGGTGCAGAGCGTATCAACTAGGAGAGTGTCCAGGCCCCCAGTGTTTACAGACTTCGGAGCTCGCAGTCCCTAAAGGCTTCATTTTTTAAAATGAAAGGGTATATATTTTACAAAGTTATTCGTAGGAGAAAAAACACAAGGAAATTTGAATTGCAGTTGAATCACCTGACTTACACACCGGAGGCTAGTTCTCTCAGGGTAGAGATTTTTGTCCTTGTCTCTGTTGTAACCCAGCCCTTCACACACAATAGGCAGTCGGTGACTGTCTCCTGAAAGAGTGTGTGACTGAGAAGTTGATAATCTTATATGAAAGAATTAGAATAGCTATCTTTATTGCCCTTCCTGTGAAGCTGTATGTGCAATTAATGATCTTTTTCCTTCCACTGATAGGCAAAGGAAAATCCTCTAAAAACAAACCTTGAACTCATCACCAGATATTTTCTGGATCACTTTGAAAATACTGCTAACAATTTTGCTCAAGAAGCATCAATGCCTGCGCTCTCACTTCCAAAGAAAAGTAACAAATTACCATTGAGGTGCTCAGAGACCACACTGGTGAATATATATGACCTTGCAGACGAAGATGCGGCATGGAGAACATCACTGTCAGAGACGAGCAAAGCCAGGTATCTTTTCTATTTACATTGTGGATTAGTTTCCTGTTGCTGCTGTAACAAATTACTATAACCTCAGTGGCTGTAACAGTCAGTGTTCTCCAGAGAAATGGAACCAACAGAAACCAAGAGAGTGAGTGTGTGTGTGTGTGTGTGTGTGTGTGTGTGTGTGTAAAGAGATTTATTTTTGGCTCGTGTGATTGTGGGAGCTGGCAGATCAGAGATCCAGAGGGCAGAGCAGCAGGTTGACAGCTCAGGCAGGGCTTCTGCGGTACAGTTGGGGGCAGAGTGATGTCTTTGATGGGAAGCCTTGGCTTTGGCTCTTAGGGCCATCAACTGATTGAGCAAGGCTCACCCATGTTATGTAGGGCAATCTTCTTTACATCACCTGATTGGAGATGCTTATCACCTCTAAAAAACACCTTTAGGGCAATATGTAGGCTAGTATTTGACCAGACAACCAGGCACCAAAGCCTAGCTGACCTATAAAATCTAACCACTGTGGCCTCTTACAGCAACTCAAGTTTGTTACCTTGTAGTTCTGGAGGTCAGAGGCCAGAATTGGTCTCACTAGATTAATGGCAAGATGTCAGTTGGGCTTGTTCCTTCTAGAGACTTCGAGGCGAGAATCTGTCTCCTCTCCCCTTTTTTCAGCTTCTAGTGACCGCCACCTACATTGCTTGGCGTGTGGCTGCTTCTTTTTTCTTTTGGGCACATCACTCCAACCTCTTCCACTACTAGCTCTGATCCTCCTGTCTCCTTCTAACCAGGACCCTTGTGATTCCATTGTGCCCACCCAGGTAAACTAGGATAACCTCCCCACCTTCAGATCTTTAGCTGAATTGCATCTGCAAGGTCCCTTTTCCATGTAAGGTAACATATTCACTGATTCAGGGGTCAGGGTATGGACATCTTTGCGGGGGCGTTGCTCAGCCTTCCGCCCCTGCGCTCACAGAGCCCCTGCAGTGGAGCACTGGTGCTTTCCCCCGGAGGCCATGGCAAGGGACCACTTTGTGATGGGGGATGCTCATCACTTAAAGTGTTTAAGTTGCATGGTTCACAAGGTTCAGGGGCTTGTTAGCATATTTTTTTTTTAAAGGTGACAAAGCACTGGAGAGATGGAAAAAATCTGAAAAATAAGGCCTTAGGAACTCTTAGGAAGAAATGGAATTGGCATTCTTGACTGGACCTCAGTTATTCGGAAAATGGTCCTGCTACATCACCACCGTAACACTGCACATGAGCTCTCTGAGAGGGAGCCTTGCCTCCTGGGGGTGGGGTTTCCTCCAGCTGTCAAAACGCATTTCCTTTCCCGGATGGAGCCAAAGCTGAGGATGCAGGCGTCAAGATGCCAGAAGGTGACTACTGTTAAAGCATTAACTCAAGGCTTAAGATGGGCAGGTTAACGAGGATGATATGAAGAAGATGGTTCCTCCTTCACAGACACTTACTGCCTGGCTGGGAAATGAAATATTTCTGAAATGATAAAAAACTGCAATAGGTTGTTGAAGCACCTGAGCTCTACCCAGTTGCCCAAGCTCACACTTGGCCGTTACCCTTGACTCCTCCTTGCCTATTTGTTTTGCATCGAGTCCTTAATGAGGGCAAACTCGTCCCTGCCTTCTCTGGAAGACCAGGGCTCTCCCCTGGTCTCCAGGACCCCAGTGGCCTCCTCGAATGCGTCCTGGACCCAGGAAAGTGTGAGCTTCCCACAAACAAGTCTGCCAGGCTGCTCCGCTGCCGGAAGGGTGTCAAACGTTCCCTTGAGCTCCGCGGATAAAACCCAAACTCCTTAGAATAACCTGCAAAACCCTTTCTACGGTCAGTCCCCCGGCTCTCCAAGGCACGGGCCGCTATCACGGGGCCCTCCCCTGCTCACCGCCTGCCTGCCGCTCCTTCCGACTCAGCTGCTGCCTTCTCTGGAAGCCCTTCTAGATTCCCCCAGGCTGCTTCCAAATCCTTCCTCTGCTTAAGGCCCCTGTGATGGCGCGTGTGACCACTTCTGTCATGCGTGACCCAGTGCGTGGTGAGCAGCGTGGCGCGGCAGGCGTCAGTGCGCCTTCATGCCCGAGTCCAGCGCTAGAGGGCAGCCCGGCCCGTGTCAGGACTGCTGGCTCTGCGGGATCGCAGGTCCGAGTCCTCTCTACCTGGGTCCCTGTCTCCTCCTCCTTGTTCTTTCTCCTTCCTTGCTCCGCTCTGTCTCTTACCTTCTTGTTCTCTTTCTCTCTCTTTTACTCTTTTTCTCTTTCAATGCCAGGCAACACAGAAAACAAAGCCGCTGGCATGCCTAACCTTGCTGACCCTAACTGCACTGTGGGGAGGCCAGGTTTGCTGCGGTCCCCGGGGCACGTGGTGAGATTGGGCCCCACAGGCCCCATGACCGTATTGAAGGGCTATAGTTTTCCTTAATCACTTGGGTCTAGGATAGGGATGCTCTTTATGGTAGAGGGTAATAGGGAACCCTATCATGGATCATAACTCTGATTTTGTTTCTTGTTTCCTGGTCTCATTGTGTAGGCCAGACTTGCTCTGATATGAAAATAGTCTCCATTCCTTACCTTTAATGATGAAGCACTGGCTGGCTAGAAATCATCGCAGACCTGTGGATGGGCTTGCTGTGCGTGTCAGCTGAATGTGGCATTTACCATCGTCATTAGTGATTCCTACTGAGGAATTTGTTTTATTCCCTTTTCTTGCAGACACGACAATCATCATGGGGATGTACTTGGTAATTTTGTGTCATCCAAAAGGCCCCCGCACAAAAGTAAGCCGGCGCCGGCCATCCCGGCGGAAAGCCCTCCGGCCGCGGCCCCCGCGTGGGAGAAGGTGGACAAGCTCCCGTCCTCAGAGCCAGCCTTGGACACGAAGCGCGTGGGAGAGAAGATGAGGCCCAAGCCCGGCCTGATCGTCCGAGGCATGATGGCCGGGCCCACCGCCAGCTCCCCGCAGGTTGTTCTCCACACTGTCATTGTGAAACCGAAAGTGTGAGCGTCCAGGGTGGGAGGGCTTCCGGGCTCCACTTAGGGGTGCCCCACAGAGAGCCCAAGAAGAGGGGCTCTATGGGGTGGGAGTGGAAGAACACCTCCTCTGTGTTCTCCCCGGCTCCGCTGTCAGCTCCTTGTTGGGAGCCTGGGCTGTCCTTGTCTCCTTCCCTGCCTCCGTTTACCCACCAGGCCAGTGAGGTGGATGCTGTGGTTTTCTGTCGCTTTGCCGAGTGAGAACACGTTTACCTGGCTTTATCTTTGCAGTTTAGGAGTCGGGGACTCATCCAAGTCTAGGGAACTTCTTTTTTATTTTTTAAAACAGGATAGTTAAACAGGAAAAGGAAACCCCAGGCTTTGTAGTTTTATTTGCTTTGATTTAAAAAAAAAACAAACCATTCTAAATATTTAACATTGTTGTTTTACAGTGTCCCTTACAGAGGGACCGTGGTCAGGTCCCATTAGGTAGGGAGACTAAACCAAATCAGAGAACAAATGTGAAAGGACTTTGTAAAACAACAAAGTAAAATCAGAGGCCAGACTCAAAGCGTGGTATCAGATAAACCTGGAGCCTGAGCAAACCAAAACTCGGGGGTGTGTGTCCACGGCCGGTGCGTGTCCACGGCCGTGTGTGCCACCTCTGCCCTCACGCGCTGCGCGGTTAGGTGTGCACCGTGGCTGGGGACTCCAGTACTGCGGAAAACCTGCCTGTGGAAGAGGCCCCCCTCCCTGCCTCTGCCGACATCTTGTGAGGTTTTCGGACACCACCCGTTGCTCTTGGCCGTGGTCTCATTTGTTAGACTGGGTGGCTGCCTCAGGCCCCTTCGAGCTCTGGGGTTCTGTGGCTCTGAGGCTCTGAGATGGTCACGCAGCCATCTCGGTGGCCAGATCAAGGGGGGCGAGGGCCTGTTCCCTTCTGTGTGGTCAGACCACGCCTTGACGTCGCATCCCCTCCTAGGGATCTTGTCCTTGAAGGACGTTCATAAGCAGGGCCATGTCTAGAGTAAAGAAACTAGGAAGGTGAAGAGTTTGGAGGAAATTGAAAGATTGGAGCACGTTTGACCTTGGGAGGAGAAGGCAGGTGGGACGTGGGACAGAATGCAAGAGAGTCCTTCAAGCCTGCAGGGAGGATGGCCTGGTCCCGGGATGGCGGAGGGTGGCTTTCAGGCGACGGCTCCCCCCTGCCGGGTGCAGTGCCCGTGCAGACATTGCTAGTTGATCTCAGTGCCCTTTTTCTGATCGAGCCTGGGTGTGACTTCAGAACCTGCGGGCGCCGTGGGCAGTTACGCCCCGTGAGTGGATGGAGTGTGAGTGAGATGAACCCTGTTCGCCGTCTGCCTTGATGTAAGGCTGAGAGCCCCCGGATGGCGGGGACTCCGCCATGTCTGGGCACAGAGCATGGTGCGTGGTCCTTTGCTGGACTGAGTGTGTAGGCGTGCTTGGTGGCTCCCGAGGGCCCAGCTGGCACCCGTGGGTGGAGGCTGGAGAGAGGATCTCGCAGTCGGCCAGAGTTCCCTCAGTGGTGGAAGAGGCTGCTTCCGAAGGTGCTAGAGGAGCGGCGTTAGGGCAAAGGCAGGCGCCCTGCCTGCTGGGGCTTCCTGTCGGGCGGAGGGTTTAGAGCCCGAAGGGCTTTTGTTCCTGTGTGTTCCTTCTGTTGACATTCACTGTAGTAGAAATGAAAACTGATAACTTCTAGGCCTTTTGGCTCTGATTGAGTGTAGAAATTAAAAAAAATACTTATTAAGTCATTGAAAATAACAAGAGTAAATCCACTACATTGAACACAAAATATTTTTAAAAACGCTATATTTTCAAAAATAAAAAAGTGGTGAGATAAGTAGCATTATTTTATATTTTTGCAAATCTCTTTCATGTCAGGCTTAGTAGAAGATTGTTTAAGTCTCATATTTACTTCTGCATTCAGTCTGCTGCATATGGTATTTTGGTTGAAGTAGATGAAGAAAATCTGACCTCATACAGATATGTAATTGGAAGAGGGAAAAGTATTTTAATAGTGTTTTTCCAAAAACTAGGGGTATTCTTTACTCTACACCCAAACTGGACAAGTTGTAGTTTGTTAATGTGGAATCTGAAAATACACCGATGAACATTTATCCATTTCTATTGGTCTGACTTTCACTTTGAATTTTTTACCACTGTCATTTGGGAAATGTTGGGTTACTGAGTTATCTTCTGAATATCGACACATTTCCTTGTAAGAAAACTTTTTAAAAAAATCACATATCTTGACGTTAGCACCCAGCTCATCAGAAAAGATTTTGAGTATTGAGAACTACTCAAGCTCACAGTGACAGATACAGGCTTCCCCAAATTGTAATTTTTACCTGAAAGCTTGTATTTTATCACTGACAATAATACATCATTTATTTATTTCCCTTGAAGTGACAGCCTTAATTTATTTTCAAGGAAACGCCTGCCAGATACCCAAGTCCGAATGACCATAGTTGGCTTGTTGAGTTGTCTCATGAAAAAAAATCACAGGTTCAGCTCACAACTCAGACATGTGACGAGTGATTTCCTTGAGACAGTTGTCATCCTGTGTGTGTGGCAGAATGCGCGCACACCTCCAGTTCTGTCACACGGAATATTAGAGAGATGTGCACCACAGGGTCAAGGTTGAAGAATGTTAACAATGCTTATGCTTGAGCTTGGACATGGTTGACATGAGCATTGCACTGACTTATTTTTGTTGTGAGGAGGGTGAACGCTAGGGCACCGGGAAAGCCTGGCGCCCCCCCTGCAATTCCTGCTAAGGACCAGCGGCCTTCACATGCCCACTGCACACGTCACCGCGGTGAAAAAGGCAAATCCGTCATATTGTTATGAAAATGGCTTTGAGCTCCCAAAAGAGTTTGGGGACCCCTAAGGCTGGCGGGCCACACTTAGAACTGGTGGCCTCATTAGACGCCAGGGTCCTGTCCTGCTGTGGCAGTCTAATCATGAAGCCTGGGCGGTTGAGACCCCCTTGATAGCCGCTGAGGGTGACGACTGCATTGACTTTGCCACCAAGAGATTGTCCGAGATTTCTCCTTTGATTGGTTGATCGGTGTGCCTTCCCTGTGGGGTATCTGAATCCAGTGAAGGACATTGAAGGGTGGGTTGTTGCATAATTTCCCCAGGTTTTCTGGAAGGTGTTTTGTGGGCCTTTGAGTCCCTTGGCCATAGTTTTCTGTTGCCCAAGAGAAAAGAGCAAGATTTGCTGGATATTTCATCATTTCCACCCCTGGATCAGCTCTGCACTTACAAAGGATGAGTAACAGGCTGGGCTCCCGCCTGTGGCCAGAAGCTGGGTCTCCTTGGGAACAGTGACTAATGTTTTCCCGCTCTGTGGCAGGGGATGCCCTTGGTGGCTTTTGGAGGAGGCTTACAGTGTCTAGTCATTTCCGCTAGGCAAGAGCGCCACAGGATTAGCCATTCTTGTGCCAGCACAGGCGTTGCCATGAGCCCAGGATTAATTCTGGAAATGCTGGGAGGTTCCACAAAAGCCTGGCAGGTGTATTTTTGTCCCTTACTTCACCATCTTAGATTGGTAACAATGTGACTTAAGCATTTTATCAGTTCATCATGGATATAAGAAAGGACATACCAGTGGACTCCTTTGGAATTCTTTCATTTCAAAAACTAAGCAAATCTTGGTGCCTACAAGGTATGGGTCATCGAGCCAGGAGCTCTGGACACCAGAGATGCGTGGAGGATGGCCGCCACCGCCCGGGGTCTATGGCAGGAGGGGGGAGGGCGCAAGAGGAGATGCACGGTGGTAGCTGATGTTTGTGAACTGCTGTGCCAGGCCTGGCCGCGAGCCGGCGCCGTGTGTGGGCCTCTGCCTTGGTCCTCGCCACGACCCCAGCACCTTTGGGCCACAGGTGTCCTGGAATTTAGGATTTTTTTCCAGAAAAACAGCACATAAACCACATACCATATGACACCTGCCATTACATGGTATGCGGTCCTTGCAGGACAAAAACATTTACGTGTCTGCAACTAAATACAAATAGTCACATTAAAAAAAAGATTAAGTAATCTCAAAGCAGTTAAAAAGAATTTGTTACAGGATTCCCAAAGAAATTTTTGTTTTGGGGTTTAGAAATTACAGATAGTGGATTGCGGAGGGAAGCCAGGGACAGAGAAGTTCCATAACTTGCCACAGGGGCGCAGCTGGCGGGCGGTGACCCAGGAATGAGGGCCGGGGCCTGGTGGGGGAGCCGCACTTGTACCTTCTGCACCTGCCGCTGTGAGGGGTGTGGGAGAAGGGCTGCGGCCCCCTCCCGGGGTTGACGCAGGTGGGTGCGGGCGTGTGTTATGGAAGCGGTAGCCGTTGAGTATCTCGTGAAGGAGTAGGTAGGACTTCAAGAGGAGGACCTGGGGGTGCGCAGAGGCTTTCCTGGGGGAGGGGGCATCATGGCATATGCTTGGAGTGGCATCAGGTGTGTTGCTACCTTGCCTGAAGGGATCCTCACTGCGTTTGCCCTTGCCTCTTCCAGGACTCCCTCCGCAAGCGCTCCCTGAGGCGGCCGCTGGCCTTGAGCAGCGTGGCTCAGCCCCACGAGGAGCAGGAGGAGGGCCGCAGGGCCCCCGAGCCGCCCACCCGCACCCCGGCCTGCCCTGCCGCACAGGAGGGCCTGGCTTCCAGCACCGGCCCCGCCGCCAGGAGCCCCCTGGGCCAGCTCGGCGAGCCCTCAGCAGAAAAGCCCCTGGCCACCCCCGGCAGCCCCCCTCGCCTGCCGAGCCAGGGGCTGCCCCAGAGGGGGAGCGGCAGGGACAGAGGTCTCTCAGAAGACAGCCCCGCCGAGGACCACGGCCCAGAGGCCGGCAGGACGCCCTTGAGGTTCTCCTTGCCGGGTGGGAATGCCAAGACGACCCAGGAGAGGCTGGAAAGAGCCTTCAAAAGGCAGGGGAACCTGCCCCCGCCCCTCAGGTGAGCACATTTCGCCCCGGCGATGCCTCTTCCCAGAGAGCCGTGCAGTGCCCGGTGGCTCCTTGGGCTCAGCAAAGACGGCTGCGGGGCGGGGAGGGCCACAGCAGTTGCTGTCCGGGAGGACACGCCCGGAGAGCACGCACCCGTGGGGACCTGCGGGGGGGCTTCTCTGGCCCTCTCCCTCCTCCTCCAAGTCGAGAAGCCTTTGGCAGGTGGTCCTCACACAAACCTGCAGCGACAGGGCTCGGCTGATGTGGTGCGAGGGGTGCTTCCTGTGGGAGGCCTGAGAGGGGTGGTAATCGGCTCCCCGGCTCCTGTGGGGCTATTTTTAACCCTATTTTTCTTGCACAGTAGATCTTGATGATTCCCACAGTGACCAATTTTGAATGTTAAACCACCCTTTATTCCTGAAACAAAACCCGCTTAGTTTTGATATTTGATTTTTTTACATATCATTGGGTTCACTTATTACTATTTTGTGCAGGGCTTTGTGAAGGAGAATTTGGTGATTTCCTTTCTGGCAACAGCCCCGTCAGAGTCTGGCGTCTCAGATGGGCTGGAAGCCATCCCTCTCTTTCCCGGTCTGTTGAAGAGTTAGTGTTAGATTGGTGTTGTTTCCTCCTTAAATATTTAGGAGAGTTTACCAGTGAAGGCTTCTGAGCATTGGGTTGCAAGATTTTAAGTTTGGATTCAATTAAAAAAATTTTTTTAATCATATTTTCTATTTTTTTGTGTTTCAATTTTGCAAGTTGTATTTTTCCAAGGGATTCTACCAGTTTGCTTATACTTCACATTTATTGGTGTAAAACTGTATAAATATAATATCCTCTTATTATAACTTAAAGTCTCTATGATCTTCAGGGCTGTCCCTGTTTTCATTCCTGATACTGGTAATTTGTGTTTTCCCTATTTTTTTTGACTAGCCTTACTAGAAGTTTATCAATTGTATACTATTTCAAAGAGTTACTTTTTGGTTTTGTATAGTTTTCTTTTCATTGATTTCTACTCCTACTGTTATTCTTTCTGTTATTCTACTTTCTTTGAGTTTAACTTGCTATTATTTTCTATTTTATTGATATGAATTTAAAAAATTTTTTAATTGTTAGTCTATTACTGTTGTCTTCTTTTGTCATACCTCTTAAGGGTAAAAATTTCCTTTTAAGCAATGCTTTGTATCCCATGCGAATAGGTTATATGTTTACTTAATTCAGTTAAAATATTTTCTAATTTCCATTGTGATTTCTTCTTTTGACCCAGGGATTATTTAGACACATATTGATTAATTCAAAACAGTTTAGGTATTTTTCTCATTATCTCTTTGTTTTTGATTGCTGACATTTTCACTTGGGTCATATTTATTCTGTGTGATTTCAGTCCTTTGATATTTGTTGAGATTTCTTTTTAGTCCAGCCCAGAGCTAGACAGACTTCCCCACCTCATCTCAGGCCCAGGGCGGGTCTCCTCACGGATCACTAGGTGGGAGGGGCCGGCCCCGGGGAGAGCACCTCACTGCCACGAGGAGAAAGGGTGCAGCAGAGCCTGCCGTTCCCCTTTTCTCTCTTTCCCCAGTTAGCCAGTCATGTAAGTCCTTAGGATGGCGCGAGTCAAGGGGAGGAGGTTAAAGGTCCACGCGACGGGGAGACCAGTACAGGTCCCTCCAAGCTCCCAGAAGACACCGGGAGTTGAGAACAAGCGCCCTTCCACCTAGCAATTGCTATCCCCATTTTCCAGGTGGGGAAAGCGAGGCACAGAGCATTGAAGGGACCTGGCAAGTTTCTGGGTGGGTGCCAGTCCAAGGGCTCAGTTTGGTGAGTGGAGCTCAGGGTGAGTTTCGGCTGTTTTTTGTCTGCTCAGCTAGGCACCTTTGCACGGTGCACATACTGCTGCACAACCGCAGGCAGCACCCTTGGTTTGAAATCAGGGCCAAAGTTACTCTACTTGCTAAGCCTAACTGCACCCCCTGCCCATCCCCACCCCCTCCATCAGCCCTCTCCCCGATTATTTCATTCCATTCAGTAAACGCGGGTTTCAGTCCGAGTGTGTATCAGGTCCTGTGAGCCCCCCAAGGTGAGAGGGAGGGGTGCATGTGTAATTCTTGTAAAGCGTGACACAGGACAGTGAGGTGACAGCGGGGCTGGCTTGCATGTGTGGCACGTGCTCCCTCCCTCGGCTGTGGTGAGGCTGGCGGAGAGGGGGACGCTTGGCGCCTTCTCAGGGCCTCGCAGCGGCAGCTCAGGGCAGGCCGTGGGAGCCTCAGCAGGGCCGGGGCGGGGCGGGGCGCCTGCGGCCTGCTGAGGTGTCAGGGGACTCGGATCTCTGTGGTCAGGCTCTTCTGACTCCGATTCCTCAGTTCTACTTGGTTGCTGATGGGACTGTTTCCTGCTTCTACTTCTGTTTCTCATCTGTGTCCCTTAATCTTAGAAGAGGGTTAGAATATATGTCATCTGGGTTCCCACTGTGGGGGATGTGGCTGTTTGGGGCCATCTGTCATTTATTACTGGCTTGTCCGGCTGCCCTTGGAGGGCTCCTCTCACGATCAGTCAGAGCTGCCAGGGCTCTGGCCCTGCCCTGGGTGGTCCTGTCACCCGTGCCTCGCTCGGCTCCCTGCCGTCACCCTGTGTCGCAGGCAGGGCCGCCCTGTACACGTTTGCATACCTTGCTATCATCCCCCCTCTCCCAAACGCACACCTGGACCAGAATAGGCCCTCGAGAGACCTAAGGTGCAGAACCAAGGGCATGGAAGAGGTGATTCTCTGTTTACATGTCCCCAAAGCTAGGGGTTCTGAGCCTAGTGGCTCCCCAAGTTGATAAGTCTGGCTGGGGGCAACCTCACTTGTGGGCTTCTTCCTGGGCATGCTGGCCTTTCGTTTGTCTGAGAGTCCCTCAGAGTGAATCTTCGGGTCTTCTGATGGATTGATGGATACACGGATGGGCCTGGTGGTGGATTTTCTGCGTATCAGCCCAAAGCATCTCACACTGAGCGTCAGGCTTTAGGAACTGGCTTCTTACGTTTCCTAGGTGGGCATGGGCTCACAAGCTCCAGCCACACACTTCTCGCCCAGTCTCCTCTGGAAACACGGGTGTAACCGTGGTCCTGAAATTCAGAAGAGCTGTTGGCCTTCTTTGGGGATTCAGCCCACAGCAGTGGCCACAAGAGCTGTATCTGGGTGTCAGAGCCACCAAGCACATCCACGTCCCCTCAAGTGGCATGAGCCATGGGCCCTTGGGAGACAGGAACACCAAGATGGGAATGCTCGGGGTACAGGTGGGGAGGCTGAGGCCCAGAGAAGAACATAGGCCTCTCCAGGGTCACACAGTCCCTTAGTTAGGATCAGGGGCCAGATGGCCTGACAGCATGGGCCAAAATGAGGGCACATTAGTTGTATAACATATTACCATAAACTTGCTTGAAAACAACACATATCATATTACAGTTCTGGATGACAGAGGTCAGCATTGGGTCTCCCTGGGCTAAAACCAAGGTGCATGCAGGGCTCCCTTCCTTCTGGAGGCTCCGGGGAGAGTTCGTTTCCTTGCCTTTTCGGCCTCTAGAGGCCGCCCACATTCCTTGGCTTGTGGCCCTCTCCTCCATCTGCAAAGCTGGCACCATCAGGCTGAGTCCTTCGCAGGCTGCCATCTCCCTGGTTCTCCCTTTTCTGCCTAACTCTTCCCCCTGTAAGGACCCCTGTGATTATGCTGGGCACTTGGATAACCCAGGGTAATCACCCATCTCAAGGATGCTGCTTGGCAACCTCAGCTCCATGTGCAACCTGTCTCCCCCTTTGCCATGTACCCCAGTGTGTTCACAGTTCCTGGGATTGGGACATGGGCACCTTTGGGAGGGGAAGGCATTATTCTACTTGTCATTGAGGGCAACTGTGTTTTGTTTGTTTTTTTCTTGCAGCATTTACAATTTTTTTGGTCTCCTTGTAATTTTGTAAAAGTGCACACCTTTTGTGCTCTCAGTCTCCCTTTCTACCACTCCGAGGAGAATTTTTGTTGTGAATCTTTTCCAGGCATTCTTGCTGTCTGTCTCTCTTCTCCTGTGGGTCACGTGTCGGAAGGGAACCAGGGAAGCCCATGGCCTCAGGGACCCTGAGATCAGCAGGATTAGGCGCGCAGGGCATGCCTGGCTGTGGGCCTGCCATGGGGGCCCCCATGAGCTCGGGGTGGTTGTTAGCTTCACAAGGGCTGATGGGTTTCACCCGGGGGAAGGTCGGGGCCTTCCCAGCACGCACGCTTAAAGTAGGATAGAGTCCATGGAATGGAAGTTTAATTTAGTTGGATTTTTTAAAAGGTATTTTAAATTGGGTGTTTTTAAAAGCAGAGTGGCATAGAGGCTCCTTTGGGACCCATCTCAGTTCTTAACCACATGGACGGCGAGGGCTGGAAAGCACCTTCGAGTCCCAGCCCTGCAGCCGGGGGACATGGGAAGCGACCCACCCGAGTCCTGCGGGTGTCCTAAGTCCTTTGTGGGCTCTGTGTGCACTGGCTAGCCCATGTTTAGAGCTTGTGCTTTAAATATGTATTGTCTTTTCTGTACTCCACCTCAGCTTCCAGCACAGTCGTCACCACAGCATGTGACATCCTGTTCCTTAGCAGTAACTCCCACGGTTTTGGAGAAACTTGATTTCAGACCCCGAGTGCCTAGAGTTACATCCTTAAGAAACCCCTGTCAATGCACAGAAATAACCATTTATTCCATTAATGCGTTCAACAGCTCTTCAGTGAGTGCTGGAGTGCATTAGAGCTGGTCCATACCAGCTCAGAGAGCTGGTTGTTAGCATCTTTTCCCGATTCTCTGTTCAGCGACATCAAGGTGATCGCTTGAGATTGGTCGTGGTAGGAATGTTTACACCATGGGAATTGGCAAATGCTGCCAGTCAGGTCCCCCTCCCTGGAGAGCCAGTTGTTCGCGTCTACCGGCACCCTGTCTGTGATGTGCCAGCCACAGCCCCAGCTGTTGGCGATTCGTGTGAACAAAGTAGACCAAGTCCCTG